AAAGCTATTTTTTTATTAATTAGGAAGGTTAGTATTTTAATAAAGTACTTGAACCTATTCTCGGACGCGTTTGTAAATTTAAGGTACGGTTGGTCGAGCGAATGCTGAGAACCCTTTAAAGTCTTATTTTCCAATAGAAAAAACTTTTTCGTCTGAGTAAAGAAACTTTTTTTAATTACTTCTTTAAAGCAAAACACGCCAGGCTCGCGACAACGAATGGTATAAATTAGAGAGTAAAATCTGGTTCCAATTACGCGATAGTGACAATTCCTTTTTAATTGGTTCTTTTTCAAAGAGGAAAACATTGTCTTATAGGTGATTAAATTTAGGAACAACAAGAGTATCAACGAATTGATGAGATCCACATTTCAGACTTGCACTTCTAAATTAATTCAATTTTATTATTCTATTTTGTTTTCACAACCAAACACTTATTTTTATTCACCTTAGATAAACATCGTAGTAATAGATAACAATAGCTTGACCATTAGGTATATGTGGGTTCAACACTTTATATTACTCTGATACTTTTCATGCACTTGCGAAATATCCCATCAAGTTTTTGGTGCCGTTGTTGGGGACCCGTTACGTCAAATATCGTAACTCCATTGTTACACCGTTTAGATTATGGCACACTTTTAGATGGACTACCCAAAATTTTCCTATAAGTATTTTGAGGGACCCCAATATCTTTATAAATCAAACCTCGAAATATTAGTATAGAACTTTGTTAATGCGCAAACCCTCTCTAAGCTAGAATCTATAATGCAGAGGTTCATGGCAACACAAACCATCCAGAATAAGGAATTTGGAAACCAAATTCTCCATGTTAGTGAAAATCTTAGGTAGTTGAACATTGTGGTCGAATGTCTAGTAACTAGCAACAAGGAATTAGAGAAAAAAATCTCACTACTTACACAAACATCTCGAGGACTCTTCGCTGAGAAGCATAAATATGTTATATAACAACCGGTAACAAAAAAATCGTAGAAAAGCTTAAGGAAAGTAATATTAAGATTAAGGAGAATTGTACTAAGGAAAAAGCTAAAAATCTATTTCAACTAAACTTCGTAGAAACTAAGATGGATTCTCAGTCTAGTAGGTATGTTATGATGTCTAGGACCCTACATAAAAGAAAAAAATTTGAAAAGCGTAAATCTAGAGATGTCATAAATGTTAAAAACAAAACGTTAACCTTTGCAGAAAAAATGAAGGAGTTAACACCAAACCAGAGAATCCAACACCTATGCTAGAGCCATAACCACCCTTATCATATCTAAGACATGAACCACTCTACAATTGAAAGAAGAGAAAAGGTGAAGGATGTGAGAGATGACTCGATAAATGGTCTTGAAAGCCAAACATGTGACTTAGATCATATCCCTAGTCGAGCTACCGACATTAAACATTAAAATAAGCGTCGCACGGTAGACAACTCATGGTTCTTCCTTTTTATTATCTTACTAATTTTTATTTAAAATGGTGAATTATTTCTTTTAAAATAAATAACTTGTGTGATTTCTTACATTTCATGTCTCATCGTTTTACATAGCTTATTCAAACTAAATTTTGAGGATGCTGAACTTCAATGACATGGAAATCCAGTTCAGAGATAACGACCAGAGAAACCGATATGCAGTTCTAGCTGAGAGACCTATGCTATCCACCAGATATCCTGACTCTACTTGCATGAAAGCCCTAGGCATTGAGTCTAGCATTAGTTACATGTGCAACCAATTAGATTGGGATGAGTATGCAGAAGCCAAAAATATACCATATCTAAAACTCACCCTCGAGTTCCTTAGCTCACTTCTTTCAAGGTCAGCTTTCCTTTAGGTTATTTGGGCAAAAGTATAGTCTAAACCATCAAGACTTAGGTCTCCTCTTAGGATTCCAATATGGTCCAACTGCCGCGCCTGAAGTTCCTGTTAATCTGAACACACAAGGCACCTTAGGCACTTTATGGAAAGATATCACCAATCACGGAAATCCAGATCCATCCACCCAGTTTTCAAATTGTATCCATAACCCATCACTTTGGTATTTCCAGATGATTTTGGATCAGACATTCTTTGGCCGAAGTGACACCAGTGTGCCCGTGAGTGAGGAAGATTTATTTATCCTCTATTACATCATTGAATCTGATTTGTTGCTTCTAGAACTTTTCTCATAGAGAACCTAAGACAAATAGCCTTATCTTCAGTAGGACCTATCCATGTAGAAGGGACTGTTACCCAAATTGCTTATGCCCTTGGACTCCAAAACAAGCTAAACCACATAGTACCCTATTATGGTTTTACACTTCTGGAGATCATTGTCTTGAAAGAGGCATGGTACGATGAGTTTACTTCAAGATTAATGAGTATAAAATTCTCATTAATAATAAAGTCGTTCAACACTTCTACCTGCCAAGCCCAGAAAGAACAAATGTATAAAATAGAGAAAATTGGATTTATGCTTTAGAGGACCAAGGCGAAACACCTTTCAGACCAACCACCCCACCTACACCAGAATACACGGAACATGACAGTTTGATGTTATCACATAACTAATCATATTTTAACATATATTTCTATTTATGATTTTTAGGATGGAGTCTGCTCATTGGAGACTAAAAGACATGTTGCCTACAAGCTGAGGAGATTTATAACAAAGTTGGGATGCAGTGAATACCATATTGAAGTTGCAGCTAGGTTCAATCAGAGTGTCATTTAAAAAAGGTATAGTCAATATTGAGCTTTGGTACAACACTCCATTATATATCAAGTTGCACGATTTTGTCTCAAGATAATGTATACAACTCATTGGAAAAGAACTAGAAAGGGTAAAATTGGTTGATTCAAGCCAAGAAATGTGTGGTTGCTTCATTAAAATAACACATGGGTTACCGTGCGCGTGTCAGCTTGTCGATTTTCAAATACTAGCCAATCTTGTTCCTATAGACTCAATTCGTGTATTTTAGACGAAACTACACATTGTAGAGTATAAGGTCAGTCATGATAGGAGTGGTACAGAGTGGAATTTAGAAGCAGAGTGTGAGAAGTTGAAGACATATTTCAGTACTTTGGATATTTTAGGCCATAGGCTCTTGAAAAAAAGGTTTGGGAACTAACACATTCATCCACAACTTCTATATGTCCACCGTCGATAAAGTACAAGCCAAAGAGTCCTGGTTAAGAAGAGTAGAAAGATTTAAGAGAGTGATGTGCATCGTGATCCTAATCAATGAGAATATGTCGAAGACTCGTAGGGGAGTCAAACTACGAATACATCAAGCACAAAACCAACAAGTCAAACTACGAATCTTCAAGACATCTTTACTTGTCACAGTTTTTTGCTTTCATATATCCATACATTGATGACATTATTGATGTCAGTGATGATAGAAATTGTGGTTTTCGTGCTATTGCGGCTTTATTTGAATGGGACAAAGAGTCGTGGTTTTTTATTCGAACACAATTAAATACTCAAGTTCACCAACACACTCAATTGTTTTCCAAGTTATTCTATGATACAATTTCTACAATTAGGAATATGTTGCGAGTATACCACTTGGGTGTGCAGGGTATGGATAAATGGATGACGATTCCTAATATAGATTTCCTTATTTCTTCTAGATACAATATTGTATTTATCTCCCTTTCCAAAAGACTTAACATCACATTTTTCCTCTGGCCTTAACTCCACCTATGTATACGAGCAGGTATAAAATCATTGTTGTTGATTTTGTCAATAACAATAATTGAATTTTGATAAAGTTGAAATCTGATTGTCTATTGTCTCACGTCACTGATCGTTGGAGACAAAATTGTATTGATGATGCAAAAGCATGAGAATCAGCATATGTGAGTTACTTTAGTCACTGGAAAGACGAAGTTAAGAAGTCATTCTAATTTGTTTTGTATTCTTATATGTATGATATATATATATATATATATATATATATATATATATATATATATATATATATATATATATATATATATATATATATATATATATATATATATATATATATATATATATATATATATATATATATATATATATATATATATATATATATATATATATATATATATATATATATATATATATATATATATATATATATATAATCGGGTAGCTTTTTTATTGATTTATTTATTCGAGAAAAATAATGAAAAATTGTGGAAAAGACTTACTTATGTCATATCAGAAATTTCACATTTTCAAATTTTTTTTTGGCAAATACCGGAATTTTCAAAATTACTTGTAATTTACTTCTTTTGACTGGAAATTTGAAATTTTCATCACCGAAAATTTGAAAATTCCAATGAACTTTCACCTGTTACGATAAAATTTTTTTTTTTTTTAATTTCTGATATTTCTTTAAATTTTCTGATGACCACTTATTCTTTTTTAAAATTTCTGATATTTACATGAGGTTATTAACACTAGAAATGGAAGTTATCAGATATAACCTGGAGGGGGAAAGTAAAAACCTGGAAGTTTTTTCATACCTAATTTCTTGAGCCTTTTCACCACAAGGGACACACGAGTGTTGACCTATTTGTATTGCAAAGGCAAGCCACTATAAATAGAGCATTAATGTTGTCACTTAGCTCTAGGTCTGAACGATTTGCACCTCAATTTCCTTACAAGCTCTAGATTATATTTCTTCCATAACTGTCAAGTGAACACTTACCATAGAGTTGCTTCATCTTGAACCTCTTCTGGTGGCTTGAATGACCACTCATTCTCTTTGATATTTGTTTTAAATTATTTATCTTCTACTCAATTGTTGTTTGTTTTTTAGAGATGAAACCGCGTCATCTTGGAGCATAACTAAATAACTATTTTTTTTACAATAAAAAAGAAGGAAAAAAATAAGTTATGCGCAAATTTTAGAAAAGTACAAAAGCAAGATGTGAGCCAAAATGAAGGCTCACGGGTCGATTGAATCAACTCCAACTAATTTCTAATAAACAAACTGATCGACCAAAATTTTTTGAGTTATGTCAATGAATCATCGGCTCGGGAAACCTATTTAAATGTGAAAGTACAGACAAATTTGACTTGTTATATACATCAGTGTGTTTTAAAATACCAGATAGCAATATTTGTTGATCTTCTTGATCCAGTCCAAAAAACCACTTCCTCAAAGTTTCAACATTGTCTGAAACAGACTTAGAATATGCCGAAAGACTGATGTTAGTAAGGAAAAGGGTTTCAAGACCAATAGGAAGAAGGCCAAAGAGAACATTAACAGTAGCAATTTGAACAGAAAGGCATGCTTTGGTGGAAGAGACACGGCATAAATATGCAAACAAATTACATCTCAGGTTTTCAACTCCTCGGTCTTCATATCCGCCATTATCAATTCCAATCCTGAAACTTAAAAACATTGTTATAACGTAAACAAAAGATATGCGTGCAAGATTAGTCACAAAACTAACTGTACGAAGGCATATAAGGATGAATTTACCTCCCAAGTTGACCGAGAAGTACAATGATAGCAATGACGATTTTTTCCTCGGCACATGTGTCAAGCATGTCGAGCAGCTGAGGAACAAGTTTGATATCAGTCCAATGCCACCTCTGTATTAGGAAAGGAAACCAAGGAATTAGGTTGAAGTATTATGATATCAACTACGTGATGCGATAAACTATTCCATAAGTATGAGAAAAGCACAATTTTCAACGATATAAAAATGTAATCTTATATCTGGTAACAAATTCCTTATTCAAACAAATGATATTGAACACAATGAGAGATATTAAAGTTGTGAACTAAATTATGGCCAATTTTATATTGTTGAATTTTATTAATTTCTATTTAACATCAAATCTTGAAACAGCTAATGTTACTTGTCATAAGAGGGTTAGTTATACCCTTCAAATTAGAGCTTGACATAAAGAATTCAAAAAATGGACGATATCAAAATGAAATGATGAGAACGGGATTAATACCATTTTGTTTGCTACCAGTTCCACTAATGATACAATATCACTAAGGCGGCAGAGGATTGCATTCTTAAGAGCATGTGGTCGAGTATCAGAAACCAAACACTTTCTCAAACGACTGGACACATCATTGTTCTTGTTAGTGGCATATTGATCTGCTTCACCATTAGACCATTGTCCAACATTATCATTGTCTGGCATCAATCCACAGTCTGATAAATCAACGTGTTTTATCCGTTGAAGCCAGCAGCTCTTTATCTCATCTAAGAGCAAGCTTGCAATGGCGTCAATGGATTCATCGCTTTCTAAGAAGGGGCAACTAACATTTGTGCAAAATTCAGTATGCAGGTGGTTCATTGAAGGAAGAGAAGAAGCAGTAACATCAGATAGACTCTCACCCTCGAGTGACATAATTAGAGACTTCAAAACAGTCACCACCAAACCAAAATTATCCATGTCGAAAAACTTCTGTCCAGCCAGATAAGCAAAAATATGAAAAATAGTGAGCACCATTAAAAGAAATCCATTTGCAAAATCTAAGAATATCAATATGATCAGTTGCAGCCCACCCACCACACACACACAAATATATTTCACAAATAGAATCTACAATCCAACTTCATGTGTGTTTGTGTGCATGCTTTTGACAGTCGCAGATATATAAAGTAGCAAAAACAACTAAAACTTTACATACTAGTGAAAATAATTCATCAGTGAAACCAACCTTTGTTTGGTCTTGTATACTCCCTGAAACAGGAAAAAAGGATGTGTCCAGCACATCAAAGCGATGTAGAAGCTGAACAAAACAAATCTTTAGACGACCTAATTCGTGTCGTAAAATACCGTAATGACTTGCTTCTAACTTATATTTTTGCTTGGTATGCTTTGCTTGTAACTTTTCAACCACTGGATTTCTTTTCAAATGTTTCACTTCAGAGCGTCGGCTACTTTGAGCTTCCGCACTGATCTCAGTGGCCATTTCAACATGTTCTCTTAGGGATGAGAGCTCATATATCCTCCGCTTCAAATCCTCAATTGTCCTCTTATCTTCTTCTAGCTGCTGAGACATCTGATCAGCGCGACATTTCTCTTCCGTGAACTTGCTCCAGTTATCTTCTACAAGCGCCTTTTGTTCATTTAGTTTAACCATCTCAACGACTCTGAGTTTTTCAACCTCCTCCAACTTTTGGTTCGCTTTTGTCATCTCTAACTCAGCTCTTCTTTTCTCTTCCAATATCTTGCGCCTTTTACAATCAAACCTTCGGATCACCTTTTTAAATGCAGACATCTCACATGTCGATTTCTGTTTTGCTTCACTAACCTGTTTCTCCAATTGACCAATATGAACCCTATACCCTTCAGCATTCTCCATTTTAATTCTCGCAATCTGCGCCCCCCTATTCTTTTCTTGTTCCAGTAACTTCAAAGTTTCGGCAACTCTCTTCCTCTTAGAATCAGCTCTTCTCTTTTCAATCTCCAAAAGCTCATTCAATCTACAGATTTCCTTGTCCTTCTCAGCTATACAAGCTTGAAACCCCAACACCTTCTCATTCTCATCCCAATTCATAGTACCCCCGTCACATCCCCTCTGAGACTTCAAGCTATAGAGTTCATTCTTGTCCACAGCATAACATTCTCTATTGTCGTGGGCCTGAATTTCATTGACTTTGCATTCGAGGAACTTGACAGCTTGGCGAAGAGCATTACGTGATTCTTGAGCCTTCAAGTATTTGCTCTTCCACTGCATAACATAAATTGTTTAGGTGAATTGAAAAACGACAAGTAGTGAATGAAGGAAAGGGGAGGGGATAGCTACCTGGTTACAACAACCGTTAATGGAGTCAGGTTTCGGTGTGTGATCCTTTTCCGCTGGTACTGCCATGTTTAACGATAACGCTCCTTCAGTTCGCAGTTCATGTCGTCTTTATCTTATTCTTCTCTTCACTGATTATTAGTCCAAAACAAATAACGAATTTTACGCACAAAGAATTTTTCTTTTCTCTTTTCACCCTACAAACTCAAATCACTTATAACTTATTCTACAAACTCTATATATATTTGAAAAGAAACTTTTTCATTAACTTTGGATGTGTTTCGTGTGTTGCTGGTGCCGTGTATATATATGGGAAAGGAGGAGTATATGAAAACGTTTTTTAAATGTGGGACTTGAATTTTTCTTTTACTCGTCACAAATTGTATCTTTAAACTTAATAGTATTGATTATTTTATATAAAAATTGGTTTGATTAAGATATATTTCAAATAAATTTATTTATTTTAAATCAAAGATTGAAATTGTTAGATATATAATTTTTGTTCTGTCGAAATGCATGTGTGGTGTATGTCGAATAGCTTTTGTATAGGTTGTGATATTGCAGTCTGTCGAAATTATGTTTTGGGCTTTAGTATTTTTGTCTAATTGGGTCTAGACATTGTTTGTCTATATAAAGGGCTGATGAGTTTGTAATTAACAAGAAAGTGAGAAAACAATCAAATTAACAAACTCACAATTCTCTCTTCTTCTTCTTCTTCTTCTTTTTCTCTTCTATAAATCATCTTTCTTGAAAACCCTTTGTTCCAACAGATTGGTATTAGAGCTCGGTTGTGATTCAGAGAAAATCTAATGGCAAACGGAACAACAACTACACAGTTTCCAGTGAATCTACCAGTTTTCAAAGGTGTAAACTATCAGCGGTGGGTTGTGCAGATGAAAGTTATTTTCAGATTTCAAGACGTTGTTGAAATCTTGAATGATGGAGTGTCAGAACTAGAAGTTGAAGCTCAGAAAACTACGCACAAAGATCAAATGAAGAAAGATGGTAAAACATTATTCTTGATACACTAGTATGTGAATTCTGATGTATTTGAGAAAATAATTGAAGAAAAAACAGCAAAAGGAGCTTGGGAAAAGCTAAAAAACTTGTATGGTGGAGATGAGAAATTGAAGAAGATGAAGTTGCAGGCACTAAGGAAGCAATACGAGATGCTTCAGATGAAATAAGATGAATCAATTTCTACATATTTCTCAAGAGTTGTAACTCTAACAAACCAGATAAAGGCATGTGGTGAATCAGTTACGGATCTGCAGAAGATAGAAAATGTGTTGAGATCTTTAATTACAGATTTTGACTACATTATTGTGACAATTGAAAAGGCCAAGAATCTATTTGAGATGAAGTTGGAAGAACTTCAAGCTTCATTGGAGACTCATGAAATGAGGTTGAAGCAGAGAAACTCAGAAAGAGAGAAGGTGATTGAGCAGGCATTGTAATCAATATTCAACAAGAAAGTTGGAAAATAGAAGTCGAAGCAGCGAAAGAATCTTGCTAGTGATGAGAAGTCAAGCAAGAATACTGATTCGATCAAGAAAGGTGTGGACAACAAGTATTCTGGAAAAAAAAGTTGACACGAAAGAGGTGCAATGTTACAATTGTCAAGGTTTTGATCACTATGCTAGAGACTGTCGAAGAAAGAAAGGTGCAAGGGAGAAAGATAGTGATGAAGCTCAATATGCACGAGTTAGAGATAGTGATTCAGATGATGTATTGTTGATGGTGAACACTCAGTCGAACACTGTGAAAAACAACATGTGATATATGGATTCAGGATGTAGCAACCACATAACCGACAATAAAAACTGGTTTACCAAGTTAGATGAGTCAGTCGAAAAGGTGATAAAATTTGCAGATAGAAGGCACATCAAATTAGGTGGTAAAAGAGATATTTCGATTATCAAGAAGGATGTTCGAAAAGCTACTATCACTGAAGTACTATATGTACATTCTATGACAAATAACTTTATAAGTATAGGTCAATTACTTGCAAAAGGCTTCAATATGAAGCTGGAAAAAATTAGATAAAGGTATATAGGGTTGATGGGAGACTAATAATGAAAGCACCATTGGTGGAGAATAAAACGTTCAAAGTTGAACTCAACACATCAGATCACAAATATATTGCTTCAACTACAGAAGAAGACAAAAACTGGCTATGGCATCACAGGTGTGGACATCTAAACTTCAAAAAGTTATGCATGCTCAATCATAAAAGGATGGTGTTTGGGTTTCCATACATAAAGGAACTAAAGCAGGTATGCGAGGAATGTTGCAAAGTAAAACAGGCTAGAAAGGCGTTCAAACATGACTTGTCCGTGAAATCAAAGCAAAAACTGGAACTGATTCATTCTGATGTGTATGAACCCTTTGAAGTAAAGTCAAATGGAGGTAACAGGTATTTCTTTACTTTCATTGATGAACTCATCAGACATATATGGATTTACCTTATTGGAAGGAAGAGTCAGGTATTCACACAGTTCAAGAAGTTCAAGTTGTATGTTAAGAAACAAAGTGGTTGCAAATTGAAGAAGTTAAGAACTGATGGTGGTGGTGAATATGCTTCTGCTGAATTTGCTAGATTTAGCAATGAGGAAGGTATAGATCATGAGGTTATTGTACCCTATACGCCTCAACATAATAGCATAGCTGAGAGAAACAATGGAAGTATATTGAACATGATAAGAAGTATGTTGAAAGCTAAAGATATGCCTAAGAGATTTTGGGCTGGAGTGACTTTGACAACAGTATGTATTCTAAATAGAGGCCTAACAAAGAAGATGGTCGAAAAGATACCGCATGAGGCTTGGACAGGGTCGAAGCCAAATGTGAGTCATCTTAGAGTTTTTGGATCAATGTGCTTCAGGCATGTAGCTGAACAATTGATAAAAAAGTTGGATGATTAAAGTGAAGTCAGGGTGCTCATAGATTATCATTTGACTAGTGCATACAAGTTGTATTCACCAAACAAAGATAAAATAGTGATCAGTTGAGATATTCTTGTAGACGAAAGCGAAAGGTGAGACTAGAGTCAAAGTTCAGTTCGACAAGAATCAAACACAGGCACAACTGTGTTCGACGAAGATGAATAGAATGAAGCTTCGACGGGTCGAAATGAACAAGGTGATACTTCAACCAATCAAAATGAAGAACCACCTGTGCAGAATGACAGAAGGTCAATAAGAACAAGAACTGAGTCGACCAGGCTAACTGGATATGAAAGGTTTCCAGATCAGGCAGTCGATGCAGATGGTGACTTAATCGAAGAAGCCATGATAATGAATGAAGCAGAACCAATTGATTTGGGAGAAGCCTTGAGAAATTTGAATTGGTGTGAAGCCATGAAAGAAGAACTTAGAGCTATTGAGAAAAACAAGACCTGAGAGCTTTTCGAAAGAACCAACAAGAAACCAATCAATATAAAATGGATTTACAAGGTGAAACGAAGGCCAAACAGTGAGATTGTAAAGTATAAAGCAAGATTGGTAGCCATAGGTTTTCTACAAAAACTTGGTATTGACTTCGACGAAGTATATGCGCCTGTTGCAAGGTTAGAAACAATCAGAATTATTGTTTCAACAGCAGCATATAGAAGATGGAAAATGCATCAATTAAATGTAAAGTCGATATTTTTGAATGGTCTATTGGATAAAGAAGTCTACGTTACTCAACCACCAGGATTCAACGTCAAAGGGCAGGAGTCGAAAGTATATAGATTAAAGAAGGCTCTCTATGATTTGAAGCAAGCTCCTAGAGCTTGGAATAAGAGGATATATAGCTTCCTGATCGAAGCAGGTTTCACAAAGTGTGTCTCTGAACATGGAGTGTATGTAAATAATATCAACACTGTCAGTCAAGTTATTTTATGTCTCTATGTTGATGACTTACACATTACAGGAGCAGACGAAGCTTAAATAATGAAGGTAAAGTCAAAATTAATGCAGGAATTCGAAATGTCTGACTTAGGAAATCTCTCATATTTCTTTGGGATGAAATTCAAAGATATTGAAAAAAAAGAGTATTCTTGCATCAAACGAAGTATGCTCAAGATATTTTGAAGAGATTTAAAATGAGCAACTGTAACAAAGTTGTCACTCCGTTAGAAACGGGATTAAAGTTAAAAAAGGAAACGAATGATGAGTTTGTAAGTTCGACCATTTACAAACAAATCATTAGATCTTTGAGATATCTTTGCAATACTAGACCATATATCTGCCAAAGTGTAAGACTATTGAGTAGATTTATGGAGAAACCTCAAGAATATCATCTCATCGCAATAAAAAGAGTGTTGAGATACGTAAAGAAAACTATTGATCATGGTGTGATGTTACCAAAGAAGTCGAAGAACAGCACAAATGTCGAAGTTCATGGATACACTGACTTAGATTTCAGTGGAGATCAAGACGAAAAGAAAAGTATTGCATGCTACATTTTCATGATTGAAGATGCTTCAATCTCTTGGAGTTCGAGGAAGCAAAACATTGTGGCTTTATCATCATGCGAAACAGAATATGTGGCTGCATCATATGTTGCATGCCAAGCAGCACGGATCGAAATGCTACTTGAAGAACTCAGGATAATGAAACCTAAAAAGATGAAGTTGTTTATCGACAACAAGTCAGCTATAAACTTGACGAATCATCCAGTGCGTCATGATCGAAGTAAACACGTAGAAAGAAGGTATCATTTTCTAAGGGATCAAGTCAATAAAGGGAAGCTTGAGATAAAACATTGCAAGACAGAAGTGTAACTAACCGACATATTTACCAAACCTCTGAAGAAGTCAGATTCGACGAGTTAAAGAAAAGCATCGGGATGAGAAGTCTCGAGAACATGAATTAGGGAGTGTATTAGATGTATAATTCTTGTTCAGTTGAAATGCATGTGTGATGTATGTCGAATAACTTTTGTATAGGTTATAAGTTGTATTCGACAGAGTCGAATACAACAGATATTACAGTCTGTCGAAATTATGTTTTGGACTTTAACATTTTTATCTAATTGAATTTGAGTATTATTTGTCTATATAAATGACTGTTGAGTTTGTAATT